GTGTGTGTGTGTGTGTGTGTGTGTGTGTGTGTGTGTGTGTGTGTGTGTTGTCATATTCGCTATACACTCAAAAAAAGCATGACAGTGTCTTGTGTTGAGGATGGGAAAGAGAGTACCTCTGGTGGAACAAAATCAGCATCAAAAATGGCAATGAAATCTCCAAGAGCGTGGCGCTCAGTTGCGTAAGCAAGCGCCCCTGCCTTATATCCAGTCCTGTTTGATCGCAAGATTACACGACAATCGACACCCTTCTCTCGCCACTTTTTTGCTTCTTCCATTGCAATTTTTGTCGTATCATCTGTCGAATCATCAAGAATGTGAACCTGCCACGAATCCATAAGACAACAGGTTTGATCGCACGATTACATGACAATCGACACCCTTCTCCCGTCACTTTGATGCTTCTTTCATTGCAAACTAAACGCTTTGTCATGCCGCTGTGCGAAAACAATCCCGATAGATAACTCACAGAAAAAGGAAGACAGTGCAATTAGTTAACCAGAGCAGAGCTATGGCGCACACCTGTATCGTATACCCTTGACGGAAAGAGTGAAGACCATGGGCATCGGCATCTGGCAGTCCCCGACTAGTTTCAGCCGCTGCCAGAGGCGGCCTCATCAGGGGGATGGAGATGCTGAGCCTAGCCACTAGAGATCAATATAAGCTCTTCGTCACTCCGACTAACTCGCACACCTACCCAACCGCATTACCACTTGTCCGTAATTCGGTCCAGATATCCGGCTACTCCTACCGGTAGTATCACCCCTGCATCGTTCCCCTGTACCAAGTCCACATTCCCGTCCAAGTTCAGGTACCCCTGTCATCATCATTACCTGTCGTCCAATTTTCACGGCCCGAGTTTCGGCCTACGTTCCCATCCTGCCACTTCATGCTCAGTCTACAGGCTGCTTGCTAGCCCGAGCTAGCTAGATATCCGGCCAACACAGAGACTTTGTATCTCTGGAAACGTTTTCTGTATAGGTTATCTTAATTGGCATCATCCATCGTAAAAATTCGCGAGATGCCGGCAAATCCGCCCACTGCATCACATGATCCTGCCGATATTTCTGACCACGACTAAATCCCCCGCGGATTCCTGAAGCTTTGCCCGTACCGTACCCAATTCCCGGATCGATACTACTCCCGATTTATTCCAGCAGCTGCCCAGTTTTATTCACCCGAACCAGCGCTCCGTCCGTCCCAACCCTACTACTCCCACGCTCCCCATTAATGGAGTGCTTGTGTGAGTAGTAGATCTCCCCATTAATGGAGCGTATCTGGTCCCATTCTCCCTTTTTTTACCACGCATGGAGTTACAACACCCATGCTGTGGCATACTGTGTAGCCACACGGGCCTGCAGGGCCCGTTCCGCATTCTCAGCCTAAAAGCCTAGAAATAAGGGCTTACAGGCCCCCTGTCGTTTCAGCCGGAAAGACTGAAAACGAGGGCCTGCAGGCCCTATGTCGTTTCAGACTAAAACAGGGCTTTTCAGCCCTGAGGCTTTTCAGCCTGAAACGGAGGGCCACTTTCGGGCCCTCATAAGATCGACCTGTCCTAACACTCAGGCACAAAACCAGGGTTTCGGGAACAGGCTATATTTAGCCTGTTTCCCACGACAGCCTCAAGCAGGAGCTGCAGCGGCAGCCCCTGACTCCCTGCGGCATTGGCAAGAGCAGCCTCCTGGACTGCCTCGCCCTGCAGT